ACATTTTCGGAATCCTCAGGATCTCTTCTTTCGTTATTTTCCGGTTTTTGGCATCCTGCCGTCATCTAGAACGCTTACTTTGAGATCGCTACACAAGTGCCTGTTTTTGCCTTTGACCTCGACCTCTGACCTTGAAAATTAATCTGAGGTCAAATTTTTTTAGTAGATTAAAATCGTCTCGTAGGGACCTTTTGTTTGGTACCAATTTGGTTATGTACGAAGTTAGACAGGGGGGCGAAAAACGTCCCCTCCCCTGGGCAGCGGTGGTTGGGATTACCCCCCCCCCCCCGACCCGGCCGGGTTAATCTTTTCTAAAAATATCCCTATGGCTTCTGTCTATGCCTGTCGATATGGTCAAAAATACAAAGCAAATCGTTATCATGCAAGGCCGAAGCAGACAATCAAGCAATTAAAGGGACAGTATCACCATTTTGATGAAATTTGACATTGCATAGGCCCCACCTTTCTGGTCCGGGAACTGAAGACCGATCCTCGGAGCTCCACACCGTTATCCCGCTATCGCCGCTCAAAGTACGAAAGGTGTACTACACTTTGAATCGTGCTTCACTATCTTCACTGTTTTAATGTTTGCGCCGTTTTGAATTGACCGCCAGTAATAAAACTTTTACCCTGGTCATTTCATCAAATTTTATAAAGCCAAAACGTTTTTCGCACTTATTCCTCACCGTCAAATTCATTAAATAGTCGTAGGCAATTTCCGCTGTTTCCTTCGGATTCTAGCCGCTCAGCAAAGGAATTCCTCCAGCTTGAATCACAATCTCCCTCCAATGTATGACGTATATGTATGACGTCATCTGATCTGCTAAAAGTACTTCACATTTGCTTCAAGTACGAGAATATTGTCACGTGATATCTTCTGGGCAATACCTAATGCTGCCTTTCCCTAACGACAACTCAATCAGAAGAGCGGCCGCGTAAGCGTAGTGTCAATAATGTATTATCTGCACCAGTTCTGTAGTAATTTCGCAGGCTTCCAAAGTGGCGGCCATGCTTGTAGTGGTGGTTTGCTCATGAAAATGACTCGCTCATGAAAAAATATTTTTCACCGAGTTCGGTCCTCAAACTATGTTTTTCTGATTCAGAAAAATAAGAAATGCTAGTAAAAAAAAATCAGCTCCATACATTGATTTTTTTCTCGATGATACTGTCCCTTTAAGATTACTACTCAATGCCTTTATACAATAACATACCGGAGATATTTTTGTTATTTGACGCATTCGACATCAATATTTCAGCAACCATATGTAAGCCTTGCCTGGCTTCTAAGGCATCTGGGCATATAGTCTATGCAGGCAGATTGTGGAGCAAGATACTCCCAGGTATGGATGGCCGGTCAGTTTATCGACATTTTATGATTCAGGATTTATGATGAGATAATATTCTATTTTTGCACTGCGGTTTGCGTGTCTTCTTTCTTGGCGAGTGGTGGAGCTCAGGTCATTAACCCTCAACGGCATAGAGGCGCTGCAACTAGGTTTTCGCAAATAACTCGCATCAAAGCGAACGATCGCGACGAAACTTTCATTACTCTCGCGTTGATCAATTTTACACCTACCCTTAACATGCGCCTCGTTGGGGTCTGCGGAGCAACGCGCCCTGTCGGGGGGGGGGGCATTTTGGCCACCCCCCTAAGATCTCGAGAACCACGCAACATAGCGACAAGCAACAAACGGTTTTAGATAGCCCCAACGGGGAACTACCTTGTGAGTTGTGACCCAATGTAATTGACCTCAGTCAAACCGATGACGTCACAGGTCAAGTAAAAGATCGAATTATCACCGTTTACAGGCATTTCAAGAAATGTGTTGTAAAATCGAGTAAAATGCATGTCATTGAAAATCATCGATGAGGAATTGTTCGTCAAACACCTAGTTTGCTTTTGCAATTACGACAAATCAGGCTTCTAGCTTAACCCGCGCCCTGCTGGGGGAGTGTTTGAACACCCCCCCCCCTTGTGGTTTTTTGCGAATATCTCAAAAACGGCGGCGCGGAGCGCCGCCGTTTTTGGTACACCTTACCATACATCAATTCTACACATGTTGTTAAAATTTCAGACCAAGGTCATTCAAGGTCAGGTCACCAGGTCACTTGAAGTGACCTCACCTCATAAAACGTTTCAATGTCTGTCATAGCTACACCGAGTGACCGATCGCTTTGAAACTTTCAGCAATTGCTAAGAGCAATAGTACGTACAAAATGTTTATCTCAGAATTTGGATATCGATGACCTAAGGTCAGGTCAATTTTGCGACCTCCCCGTTATAAGTCAATGGGAGAAAATTGAAATGCGCCTCTTTTGGACGAAAGACATTATAAACACTCCCAAACACTGAATTACAAGTGGTTTAGACACACTGAACATGAAAATGGTGTCCGTGACCCCTGTTTATGCTCTGAGGTCATCTTAGGTCACGAATGGTATCTAACAGTTTTTCGCAAATAACTTTTAACCCTCGCCCTGGCAGGGGGGGGGTCGATGCGACCCCCCCTAAGGTTTTTCGAAGATAGCGTAAAAACGGCGGCGCGCAGCGCCACCAAATTTGGCACAGCCTATGGGGCAACCTTTTTACATATGACCTGAAAATTTCAGGTCCGGGTGACCTTGGGTCAGGTCACCAGGTCAGAAAAACCGGTACAAGGTCATGGTCAAATTTCAATTTTCTTCTTGCACCTGTCCAACTCACAGTTTTCGACTGATTTCCTTCAAACTTTCAGGATGTGCTAAGTTCACCGAGTTGTATAACATATATTCCGGCTTTTTTGAGGTCACTGACCTGAGGTCAGTTAGAGGTCATTACGTCGTAATGTTAAGCCTATGGGAAAATACTAAATTCGGAAAATACTGGAGATATCCGCTTCGTTCTATCACTTTTGTGCTTTGAAACCACGGTACTTAAAAACAGGTCACTTGGTGCTTCTTTGTTTGGTGTACTTATCCATGGGTCAGGTCAAATGAGGTCAACTGAGGTCAAATGACGTTTTTGCCAATAACTTGGCACATAATGACGCTAGAGCTTAAAAAATGGTATCATTGTGTTCCTGGTGATCAGCCGAATCGAATGATATGCGATATGATGCAATTTGGTTAACTTGAACTTAATTTATTAATTTAAGTTTACTTAAAATTTAAGAAAAACTTTAAGTACACTTAAGCAAGCTAAAAAGTATATCATTCGACGCGCCTTGACGCGCTGAGTTCACTGGTGCTTTTCTTTTTGCTCTATCTTAATTAGATCAAAAGTTATAAGCGAAAAACTTTTGACCTGTTTTTAGCGAAATTTTTACATTTATACCCCCCAAAACCCCCCTAAATATTGACCTAGAGCAACCAAATTTGCACAGGGGCGAGAACTCCAGGGGGCCCACCTACCTACCAAATTTGGTGTTTCTAGGTGCCATAGGAGCCAATCGCGAGGGGGGGTCGCATCGACCCCCCCCCCCTGCCAGGCCGTGTTATGAAAAATGCCCTGCCAGGGCGAGGGTTAATAGAGGCATGCTAGAGCGATGAAAACGCATTAGATGTGTTCAGCTCGACGATACGGATCGACTGATATGCAACATGACCCTTTCAGGTCAGGTCATTACCTTGACCTGAGGTCAAATTTTCAAGTTGACCTTTCAAGTTCAACTTGTAGTTAATTCGATGCGTCTTGACGAGAGGAACACGATGCCGGTAAAAGTAAGCTCGTGCAAGGCTTGGGTCAAAAGTTATTGCAGAAAAACTGTTTCCGAAAAAATCGGCTATTTTTGCAGTTTTTGCCCCCTGCAGGCAAAACCGTTGACGTTAGGTCAAATCTGAGAGAATTACTCAGAAAGGGCGTTAATAGGGCTATCGAATGCGCTTTTCCGCGGCGCTCTAGCTCTATTGGTTCCCGAGTTATGCGTTGGCATCTTGGAAATTGTCGACATTCGACCTGGAAATCGGCGAAATTTTGCCTTCAATGACCTCTGGTGACCTGACCTTTGACCTGACCAAAAAATTGACCGAAGTGATTTCGTCATTATTTTTGACGCTCTTTCTTTCGAACGCCGCCTTCTGTGTATCGCTACGTGGCCCAGGAGCCGAGTTAGAAGGGGGGGGGGTGTTCAGACACCCCCCCCCCCAGCAGGGCGTGAAAATCCAGGACCCCCAGCCGGGCACGGGTTAAAAAAAATGTTAAGTTCAGAGCAGAAAAAGCTACCTGGGATTGTAACCAGCCCCCCCCCCCCCTATGTCCGGGCGAGGGTTAAAATTTCATGACCCTGACCCAAATGACATTTGACCTGTTACCTACTTTCCGATACCATGTTTGGCCGGAAACGCGGTTTGGTGTATGTCGGCTCGCATTAGCCAGACCAAACCCAGACCAGACTAAACCAGACCCAGACCAAACTAGACCAGACCCAGACCGAACTAAACCAGACCCAGGCCAGACTCAGGCCAGACTCAGGCCAGACTCAGATCAGATTCAGGCCAGACCCAGACCAGACTCAGGCCAGACCCAGACCAGACTCAGGCCAGACCCAGATCAGATTCAGCGGCCAGACTCAGATCAGAATCAGGTCAGATTTAGACCAGACCCAGGCCAGACCCAGACCAGACCCAGACCAGACCCAGACCAGACCCAGACCAGACCCAGACCAGACCCAGACCAGACCCAGACCAGACTCAGACCAGACTCAGGCCAGTCTCAGATCAGAATCAGGTCAGATTCAGACCAGACCCAGGCCAGACCCAGACCAGACCCAGACCAGACCCAGACCAGACCCAGACCAGACCCAGACCAGACCCAGACCAGACCCAGACCAGACCCAGACCAGACCCAGGCCAGACTCAGACCAGGCTCAGGCCAGACTCAGATCAGAATCAGGCCAGACTCAGACCAGACACACACCAGGCCAAGACCAGACTAAGACCGCAACTGAGACCAGACACAGACCAGACTGTGACTGCGACTGAGACCAGACTGCGACTGTGGCCACCCTCGGCGACGGGCTCGACTAGACTGGCTCGCTGGACTGGCCGTCCAGCCGCGCGGCCTTGGCGCAGAGGGACATATCGCTGTAGGTGGCGCCACGATCGAAGGCGGCCAGCGCTAAAGTGCGGCCACGGATAACACGGCTTATGTGACACGGTTATGATATGGTTATGATATGGTTATGATATGGATGAGCAGATATGGTTTATGATAGCACGGTTATGAGAACACGGTTTATGTGAGACGGTTATGATATGGTTATGATATGGATGAGCACATACGGTAGGTAGATTGATAGATAAAACAAGTTTATTTCATTAATCAGAACACGTACAAAACAATGATCGCCAATTGGTGCAAAAGCAATTTTGATTGAATCACAGCACTTCTCGGCTCTTACGTGCTATCGCCCGGGTCGGATCGCCTTTCCACTGCACGCACGCCCGCGCCGCACCCGCAGCGAGCGCCACCACCGCACCGCCGACGGTTTATGATAGCACGGTTATGCTAACACGGATTATGTGATCCGTGGTGCGGTCATTATGGTTGGTTCATTGTTTACCAGCATAGGGTTAATGGAGAGTATCTGGTTCATGCAATCTGCCGCCAAAATTTCGGTGCAGTGGTCTCTGTATTGTTGAATTAGATGAGTTTGTCACAAAACGAATGTTTTGTGAACGAATGTTTATCTAACAGTTTTTTTTTTGCGAACAACTTTTGATAGAGGAACGCTAGAGCAATGAAAACGCCTCGGGTGTGTTCAACTCGATGATACGGATCGACTGATATGCAACATGACCCTTCTGGGTCAGGTCATGACCTTGACCTGAGATCAAATTTTAATTTGACCTTTCAAGGTTGATTATACCTAGTTCATTCGATGCGTCTTGACGACAGTAACAAAAAAAAACGGAAAAAGCATGCTCGCGCAAGGCTTAAGTCAAAAGTTATTGCAGAAAAATTGTTTCCGAAACAATCGGCTATTTTGACAATTTATCCCCCTGTATGCAAAGCCGTTGACGCTAGGTCAAATCTGTGAATAGAATATTCAGAAAAGCGTTCATAGGGCTATCGAACGCGCTGTAGCTCTATTGGTTCCCGAGTTATGCGTTGGCTTTTTTAACCCTCGCCCTGGCAGGGCATTTTTCATAACACGGCCTGGCAGGGGGGGGGGTCGATGCGACCCCCCCCCTCGCGATTGGCTCCTATGGCACCTAGAAACACCAAATTTGGTAGGTAGGTGGGCCCCCTGGAGTTCTCGCCCCTGTGCAAATTTGGTTGCTCTAGGTCAATATTTAGGGGGGTTTTGGGGGGTATAAATGTAAAAATTTCGCTAAAAACAGGTCAAAAGTTTTTCGCTTATAACTTTTGATCTAATTTAGATAGAGTAAAAAGAAAAGCACCAGTGAACTCAGCACGTCAAGGCGCATCGAATGATATACTTTTTACCTTGCTTAAGTGTACTTAAAGTTTTTCTTAAATTTTAAGTAAACTTAAATTAATAAATTAAGTTAAAGTTAACCAAATTGCATCATATCGCATATCATTCGATTCGGCTGATCACCAGGAACACAATGATACCATTTTTTAAGCTCTAGCGTCATTATGTGCCAAGTTATTGGCAAAAACGTCAATTGATCTCAGTTGACCTCATTTGACCTGACCCATGGATAAGTACACCAAACAAAGAAGCACCAAGTGACCTTCTGTTAAGTTCTGTGGTTTCAAAGCACAAAAGTGATAGAATGAAGCGGATATCTCCAGTATTTTCCGAATTTAGTATTTTCCCATAGGCTTAACATTACGACGTAATGACCTCTAACTGACCTCAGGTCAGTGACCTCAAAAAACCCGAACTATATGTTATACAACTCGGTGAACTTAGCACATCCTGAAAGTTTGAAGGAAATCAGTGCAAAACTGTGAGTTGGACAGGTGCAAAAAGAAAATTGAAATTTGACCATGACCTTGTACCGGTTTTTCTGACCTGGTGACCTGACCCAAGGTCACCCGGACCTGAAATTTTCAGGTCATATGTAAAAAGGTTGCCCCATAGGCTGTGCCAAATTTGGCGGCGCTGCGCGCCGCCGTTTTTACGCTATCTTCGAAAAACCTTAGGGGGGGGGGGTCGCATCGACCCCCCCCCCCCCCTGCCAGGGCGAGGGTTAAAATTGTCGACATTCGACCTGAAAATCGGCGAAATTTTGCCTTCGATAACCTCTGGTGACTTTACCTTTGACCTGACCATACAAACTACCGAAATGATTTTGTCATTATTTTTGGCGCTCTTTCGAACGCCGCCTTCAGCGTATCGCTACCTGGCCCAGGAGCCGAGTTAGAAGGGGGGGGAGGTGTTCAAACACCCCCTTCCTTTGGCAGGACGTGGTAGCCCAGGAGCCCTGGAGGGCGCAGGTAAGGGTACTTATGACGTCTCGTCGCGTTCTTTCGTTTGCCGCCCCCCTCGTGTCACTGCGCTGATAAGTTCTTGAATTATCGGCTAAGAGCAAGTGGTGGTTGCGAAATGAATACCCTAGCAACTGTCGAGTTACGTAGGTGACTCAGCCTTAGGCCCTTATTGTAACATGTCCATCTTTTCCCAATTTCAGTAACAGGTAGGCATGTTTTTCACATGAATATTTATTTACTACATTGCTCTAAACAAAGCTAAGCAAACACAAATGACGTCACAAACACAAAAGCAAACATTGACGAGACATTGACAAGGACATCTATGAGTATGTTCTAAAGTAGCAACAACGACAAACAATTAACAGTCGTGTAAGAACGGTTCACGACTGCATTAGCTTGCAGACGGTTAACTATTTAGTCATCGGAACAGAGCATTATAGCATCCAAGTAACACAAAACGAGGTAATGGTAACATGACAAAACGTGAACAAGAGTCGCAGCAAGTATCACGTCAAGCAACATTGATAACAGGGACAAAAGCGTGACAAACATAGCTAGATGGGACGAACGCTACATGGAAAGCATCAGCAACTTCGCAAACCCCCATGCACTGGTTGCTTGCAACTAAAAACCTCTACCCAGATATGTTGAAGGATTTTGCTAGTTAAATCGCAGCAGCATTGCGCATGCAAATTTTGCAAACAACTTAACACCCGCTAAAATTGGAATTCAAACACCCGATGAAAGCATTGAACTTTTCACCCAAGGCATTGGGGTAACAAAATCTGCACACATATTTTGGAAATAATGACGTGGTAGGCCTTCTAGATGCACACGTTGAGAAGGCAGCCAGCTGTTAGACACTGCTGATCATTCAGGCATGGCATACCTGTCGCAACAGTACCAAGGGCGCAGACTTCGAGGACGCAGTTGTTACTCGCACAGTCAGCGCTGTCCATGCAGGCGACACCAATGTCAAGCAACGATGCGGCGGCGCTAGCCGTCGTGGTCGTCATTGTTGTAGCATCAGTCGTGGTGGCTACCGCAGGAACGGCGCACACGTTCAACACGCAGTTGTTGGACTGGCAATCGTCGTTGTCCATGCACACGCCGCTGATGCCGTTACGCGTGGCGGCGCAACGCTGGAGCACGCAGTTGCCCGAGGCGCATTCGGTGGGCATGCTGCAGGAAGCGCCGTTGGGCATTTCGGTTCCGTCGCCGTCAGTGCAGGTTCCTCTGACACAGTTGCCGGAGAGGCATTGGGCAGAAAGTAGGCAGGGCTGTTGGTTGGGAAGCTTGGTCAAACACTCTTTTCCGTTGGTAGTTATCATGCAGATTTGCGTGAGCTGGTTGCATCCCTCGCTGGAGAAGGGAGTAGGACATTCGTTGGCCTTGCAAACTCCGTTTCGGCAGAGACCAGACTTGCACTCGGCGTTCTGGTGGCACTGATCGTTGTTGTTCCTCTTGTCCACGCACACGTTGCCGTAAGGAGCTGGGCTGCAGAACTGGTTCGGAAGACAGCGCTCCTCCATGTAGGGGTGCGGGCACTTGTCCTCAATGCAGACTCCGCGGTCGTCGCAAACGTTGGACTTGCACTGCAATCGAGACGAGCAATGTGCTCCCTTTTCCTTCTTGGCAACGCACATGTTGCCGTCCTCTCCCGGAGAGCAATACTGCGTGGGCATGCAGTCGATGGACATGTCAACCGCCGGGCAAGCGTCAGCCTTGCACTTCCTGTTGCGGCAAGTGTCGGAGAGGCACTGGGTCTTCACAGTGCAAGTGTCTCCGACCTGCAGCTTCGGCTTGCAGATGTTGCCGTCGGGTCCTGAGCCGCAATACTGGTTCTCTGGACATCCCATCTGCTCCAACAGCATCGGGCATAGGTCTTCTTTCGACTTGAAATGGCACCGGTAGCCCACCTTGGTGGCCACACACTCCTGACCAGCCGGGCACCTTGAGAGCCTGTCAGTGGCATCACACTCATCGCTTACACACGTATGACCCCGGCAGATTCCACTTGTACATTGGAAGCCAGTCTGGCAGGTCACACCCTCTGGGTACTGGGCCTCGCAGTGGGTATGACCCCCGGCAGACACGGCGCAAACGTGACCGGCCGGACAGCCTCGGGTGAAGAGAGGCACCGGGCAAGCACGTTTTGCAACATAGATGACATGAGGCGCGGTGGTTGCAGTGGTCACAGTTTGCGTTGACCCGTAACTTGTCAAACTGTTACCAAAACTGGAGATACTCTGTCCCAGACTGGAGACTCCAGCGCCAGCCAGCGCAGCAGGGCCCGCCAGCAGCTTGGTCAAGAAGAAGAGGCGACCCTGTCGGCTGGAGCCCTCCTCAACCTTCACTGCTTCCTCCTTAGCAGCGGTCTCTTTAGCGGCAACCAGCGAGCACACCGCCAGGGCCACCACGAGCACAGTGAAGGGCTTCATTGCAGGTCACCAGGCAGCCGTGGAGAAAGAACTGTTTCAGCTCCAGTGAAGCTGCCGAAGTGGAGTGTGACCTCACCAACTCCCTCCACCCTTATATACGCATCTCCAGCCTCATTTCCTAAACGCTAAGCCAGTTTAGCAGTGAGGGGATCCGGCAGCCCTGACGGACCGGCCAGTCCACAGCAGCGCCCCGTGCCCCTCCACGCAACAAACCAGTTCTTGGGGAGGTTCCGGCAATTCCGTCCAAAATGGGTCACATCCTACCCTCCCGCTCAGAACTCACAGCCAACCAGAATCCGCACATGGCCCCGGCCGCTCCCTCGAACGGGTCAGGCCCTCCCTCCCCTCCCCTGCCCTCGGGTCCCGCGCGGACTGTTTCTATGCGATCGCTCAATGTCTGAAGCGCCTGAATATGTATGGAATCGTTAAGTTATGCCGAGTGCAGTGCGCAGAGTTGATGGTCAGTTGTCCCCCGGAGCTGACGGAGGACGGACCTCTTCTGCCCAGCTCCAAAAGCGGTGGGTGGTGATGTAGGTAGTGGTGTAGGCAGTGTTTAGGCAGGGTCATTGAAGTAGGCACTAGGTGGAGTGTCAGTCGGTGGAGTCAGCTAAGTGGGCATCTTGATGGGTAGTCGAGTAGTCAGTGGAGTAGTCAGCGGAGTAGGCAGCTTGATATGGAGCTGAGTCAGCGCGGCAGTCATGGGTAGTCAGTGAAGGAGTCAGCAAAGTTAGTGAAGTAATTAATTAATTACCAATTAACTGTTCATTACTAAATAAAATCATTAAAGAAGTCAGTGACATGGGTAAATTAGGTAGTGTGGTAGCGAAATGCTGCAGTGCCATAAAACTTGATATACCTTAACTTGATATTTTTACAATAACTTCATATAGCAACATGCTAGAGCGATGAAAACACAATGGATACGTTCCGCTCAACGATACGAATCGATCGATATGTAGCATAACCTTTTCCGTGACCTTAACCTGAGGTCAAGTGTTTGAGTTAACGTTTTCAGGTCAACTTATAGTTCATTCGGTGCATCTCCGCGAGAGAAACGAGATGTCGGGAAAATTAACGAAATACAAGTTTTGTACCAAAAGTTATCAAAAAATCATATTCTGCCAAAACGTCAAATTTTTACATTTCGAGTTTCCATCAGATTTTGAGTTTTGCACTCTACAGACTCAACTGTAAACCTTAGATCAAACCCGAGTGCATTATTCAGAAGGGGCTTTGAAAGAGCTATCAAGTGCGCTTGCTGCGGCGCTGTAGCTCTATTGGTTCCCGAGCTATGCACCGATTAGTGAGAAGTTGTCAAAATCGGCTCAGTCCAGTGGAGGCTGGAATCAGCGAGTGTTGGAGTTTAAGTCATTGTATGATAAGCAAAAATGGAGTTATATGTATGTTCAAGTGGCTCGATTTCACAACCCTCGCCGGACCAAAGGGTTGATGCAACCCCCAGTAATATTCGCAAATAACGTAAAAACGACGGCGTGTAGTGCCGCCAGATTTGGTATATTCCCTGGGGCAGCCTTTTGGCACCTGCCCTGAAAATTTCAGGTCTCTGTTATTTCAGGTGAGGTCAATAGGTCATCAAAACCGGGACAATATCAGGGTAAAATTGGACTATATTAGCGGCAAAGGAATCGCTCAGTTTATCGACAGCGTAAGAACCGTAAGATTTTGAGCCACCAAAGTTCAGAAACAACTTAAGGCAACTATGCTAAGCTCGCCGAGTTGTATAACCTACATGCTGGTTTTTCAAGTTCGGGTGATCTGAGGTCATCTGGAGGTCACGGAAAATTTATATGAAAATTTGTCCGAAAAGATACATATAAAAAATACATTGTAATAATATGCTATATTTAAACGTTTTTGCGTTGTTTTAGCTCAATTTAAGACGAATTTGGTGTTTGCTTGCTGAAAAACACTTAGGTCAGGTCATCTGAGGTCAAATGAGGTCAATTTACTTTTTGCTAATAACTTTGCACACTATACTAGTGCTTCAAAAATGATGTCGTTGCGTTCCCTGCGATCAGGCGAATCGAATATGCGATGCGTTGTAATTTGGATAAGTTGAACTTAATTATTTAAGTTTACTTACAAATTAAAAAAAAAAATAAGCTCACATAAACTTGTAACTAAGTATACCATTCGAGGCGCACGGACATGCTGAGTTCACTGGCGCTTTTGTTTCGAAGATCAAAAGTTTTAAGCGAAAAACATTCGACCCCTTTAGCGAAACTTTAACACTTATGATGCCCCCCCCCCCTAAATAATGACCTGTCCTAGAGCAAACAATTTGCACCAAAAGCGAGCTCTCATACAGGTTCACCTATCCTGTAAATTTAGTGTTTCTAAGTGCCATAGTAGCCAATTGCCAGGGGGAGTCGTACCCCCCCCCCCCCCGTTGGCCGTTCACGTTATGAAAAGGGCCCTGGCCTGGCGAGGGTTCGGATAAATAGTTCGAGGCAGTGGACACACCAACGACAAATTTATTTTTACAATCCTTGTGTAACGTTATCCAAATTGGAGAAATAAGCAAGTGAAAACAGACATGAAAGTACTCAACTATATGTACACAGCAGAACGTAAAGAGGAAACAACACCACGATTTACAAACAAACACTTGACGAGCTGCAAACAAACACAATCTGAGGCAAAGACAAACAATTCTACGTCGTTTTTTCCGTGTTTTTTAACGTAATTCTAGGTACGTTTCGAGCAAAAAATAGAGTATTGGGATGAGCGATGCTCATTTTTATGGTTTATCATTCAAGACCTGTCAAAAATAAGAAATGAAACACGAATCTCTACAAAATGACAAGTTTAACATTCCATAACTATTTAACCCTCGCCCGCACATGGGGGGGGGGGTGGTTGCCACCCCCCCCCCAGGCAGTCTTTCTGTTCTGCACTCAACATTTTTAGAGCTAGAAGGCTGATTTTTCGTATAGCTGCTCGTCTATCCTTTCTTGATGTCCACTGAAAATTTCAAGTTTCTGTGATTTTTGGTTTCGGAGATATAACCTTGTTTTTCAGGTCATGTCATGACCCAAATGGCCAATTCTCAACATCTTGCGTTTGCCATGGGCCTTGTGAGCTTTTGACACCCTGATTTCGGCCTTTTTTGCCAGTCTTACCTCCCACCTATCATGGAACATGTTGTTCGACGATGTACAGGGGTCAAGGTCAGGGTCAAGGTCAACCTAGGTCATCTAAGATAATTGCGTTTTAGGCAAGCTGAATTTACTTTTTGTGAAGTTTTTTGACTGCATTTTTGGTAAAAGCTTCTCAGATCATGATTTCATGTGATATGGACCCAAAAACAATCGGTGCACACATCAGTATACACACAGACACACACAGACATACAAACACATATAATTGACCTTGACCTAACTTGACCTGAAATGACCTCAGCAGCAAAATTCTGGTCGGATAGTGTGACAAAGAGGTTCTAGCTGGCTTGGCACCAGAAAACAGCATCGTCATCGGTATTTGATAAGCAGCGCACTGGATATCCAACGGTGACCCAAAACAGCAACATTTTTTAGTTTGACCTGACCTGGAAGGTCAATGACTGACCTGAGAAGGTAAAACTGGGTATCATTGGATTCGTCTCTTCCCAAAGAATCTTTTTGGTCTTTACTGCTAAGCTCTATCTCCAACAGGAACGAAATGGCGCGGGGGGGTGGCAACCACCCCCCCATGTGCGTTCTAGGATGGGAAAATGGCATGTGCGGGCGAGGGTTAAACTCTACATCACTTTTTACTCAAACACAGAAAAGAAAACACCAGATGGAGCGAGGTAATAGAATTTCGACAGCTTTATTGCACTACTAAATAACTATATTTTTTTACCCTGCGTGTATTTTTCAATCTAGCACTCTCAATTGTCTTATATAAATTTGAAAAAAGGTCATCTATAAAGCTCGGTCTGGTCGGAACGCCGTTGGGCTTGTCCCAACTGCGAACATACAAGAAGGAGGGGTTACCCAGTGACCCTGGCCCGTATTGGTGTTTTGCCAGCTGCGAACATACAAGAAGGAGGGGTTACCCAGTGACCCTGGCCCGTATTGGTGTTTTGCCAGCTGCGAACATACAAGAAGGAGGGGTTACCCAGTGACCCTCGCCCGTATTGGTGTTTTGTCAGCTGCAATTGTGTAGGGCGGAGGGAGGAACATTGACCTTCCAGGTCAGGTGAATGACCAGCAATTCGGAAAACGGGAACCTGTTAGAAGGTCGTAAAGCGTGGCTGCTATGGGGGTTTTCGGAGTCTTGATCACGAAATTCATGTCAGTTTTGATCATTGGTGATGTCTTCATCCTTTAAGGCCAGGTCGGGTCAGGTCAGGCCGGATCAACCAGTAGGCGCCCTGCCGGGTATTCATAGTAGGTGTCAACTGCCACTGACAGTTTCGTATCATGTTACGAGGGCACCAAAACTACTTCGTAAATGTTTTAAAAGTTGCTAAATTCGAAATCAGCTAAAAAAAACTTATCTAGAAATATGCCAAACTCATGAAAGTAAACCGAGGCTGACCCCATACGAAAAATCAGTCTTCTAGCTCTAAAAATGTTGAGCGCAGAGCAGAAAACTGCCTGGGGGTGGGGGGGGGGAGGTGACAACCCCCCATGTGCGGGCGAGGGTTAATCGTTTGACCCGAGTGGTTGAATGCTGAAACAGACTAGGGCAGACAAACATCCATCCCAAGACACTCCACTCCAGGCTTGGTCCTCCCTGACCTGACGTTTTGTGACCACTATCTTGTTTAAAATTCCGCAACTGGAGGCCAGCTCAGCATTAGGTCCAGATGATAGCAAAACGCCAGAACTTCGTGTACAACCGATACACGAGCCGGTTGGGAGGCGACAAGCAGATCACTAGGTACTCAAGCCCACTACAAATCAAGTTTAATCGACTCCCGCCCCAATTCGTCTCGGGTTAAAACAATTGTTCTCTAGTGAATGTATTAACAACACTTATTGCAGGCATTACAGGCTAAGCAACACAAAAAATGACGCCAATACAAAAGCAAACATGAATGAGACTATGGAACTAGTACGGTATTGGCAAACTAAAGCAATGTTTAATAATAAACCATATGACACTTCGACAGCAACCTACATTTTCTAATAATTGAGCTGGCTAAGAAATGCTCACCTTCATGGCTAAGAAAGCGTAGCATAACATAAGCTTGGCGGTTGGCACTTTAACAATTAGCAACGACACGATTTGCAAAGAAACATTGACGACATTTACACAAAGGACAGGACGACATTTACACAAAGGACAGGACGACATTTACACAAAGGACAGGACGACATTTACACAACGGACAGGACGATACGGCAACACTGCAACATGTAAAGCAACAACTTGGGCTCCGACGTCGCACACAAGGCACGATCCCAGTCGGAAAAATCGCAACAAATGGGTAGCCACCTCGCATATCAAACCCCAGCAAAGCTGGCAGGAATTGCAAAATTCCGGAACGAAATATCGGGAAGAGTAGTGGACCATACATCAAAGGGATGAAAATAGCTACGTCAAAGCTTACACGCAGAGTTTTGAGGTGCTCTTTCGCATGTTTCGGGCGAAATGGGAAAACAACAAATGCTCTCGAAGCCTTAAGGCCGTTTCACATACGGAATGTGAAACGATATTTGATTAAACACAAGAGCGGAGCGTGAACATATGTAGCACCAATACTTTAACATGGGGTTTCACGATCCGCCTACGCTCCCATCGCGTTTACGCTCCGCATGTGAAAAGGCCATTAGGGTCTAGGAGGAGGTGATGTCCCGACACCTAGAAGGCGAAGTCCGGACGCCTAGAAGGCGAAGTCCGGACACTTGGCGTCTAAACACAGATATTGGGAGTAACGGTACCACATCCTCCACTCATACACTGACTGTCAAAAAGACAGGGCGCACCCGCGGCCACGTCTCCCCTGGCACACATCAGCATATCGCATTTGTTGCTCTCACACTCGGTCGCCATGCCACAGGCGGCGCCGATTTTAAGCAGGGCAACGCACATCATGTTCGTACATCTTGTTGAGGCACAATCGGCGTTCATTGCGCACCGGCCTCCTACAGGAACAAGGGTCGTGGGAGCCATGGTGGTGGGGGTCGTTGTAGGCGTCATGGTTGTGGTCATTGTGGGGGCCGCGGTGGGGGCCATACAGACGCCCATCTCACAGATGTTGGACTGACAGTCGTCGTTGTCCATACACACGCCGCTGATACCGTTACGAGTGGCGGCGCAACGCTGGAGGACGCAATTGCGCGAGGCGCATTCGTTGGGCATGCTGCAAGGATCGCCGTTGGGCCTTGGGGTTCCAGCGCCTGCGGTGGCACACATTCCGTTAGCGCAGTTACCTGACATGCACTGGGCAGAGGTCATGCAGGCTTGTTGGTCAGGGAGTTTGGTCACACACTCTTTTCCGTTGGTAGTTAGCATGCAAAATTGCGTCATCTGGTTGCATCCCTCGCTTGAGAAAGGAGTAGGACATTCGTTAGCCTTGCAAACTCCGTTTCGGCAGTAACGAGACTTGCACTCGGCGTTCTGGTGACACTGCTCATTGTTGTTTCTCTTGTCCATGCAAACGTTGCCGTAAGGAGCTGGGCTGCAGAACTGGTTCGGAAGACAGCGCTCTTCCATGTAGGGGTTCGGGCACTTGTCCTCAATACAGACTCCGCGGTCGTCGCAAACGTTGGACTTGCACTGCAGGTGAGACGAGCAGGGCGCTCCTTTCTCCTTCTTGGCCACGCATATGTTGCCATTCTCTCCCGGAGAGCAGTACTGCGTGGTCATGCAGTCTATGGACATGTCAACCGCCGGGCAGGCGTCGGCCTTGCACTTCCTGTTGCGGCAAGTGTCGGATAGACACTGGGTCTTCACAGTGCAAGTGTCTCCGACCTGCAGCTTCGGCTTGCAGATGTTACCATCGGGTCCTGAACCGCAATACTGGTTCTCCGGACATCCAGTCTGCTCCAGCAGCATGGGGCACAGGTCTTCTTTCGACTTCACGCGGCACCGGTAGCCCACCTTGGTGGCCACACACTCCTGACCGGCCGGACACGTTGAAGGTCTTACATTAGGGTCACAGTCATCAATGACACAGGTTCGACCCCGGCAGATTCCACTTGTACATTGGAAGCCAGTCTGGCATGTCACGCCCTCTGGGTACTGGGCCTCGCAAACGGTCTGACCGCCGGATGATACAGCACAAACCTGACCGACAGGACAGCCGCGAGTGAAGAGAGGCACCGGGCAGACACGTCTGGCCACGAAGATGACATTGGATCCCGAGGGAGCAGGCGTCACAGCTGGAGACGTTCCCAGACTTGTTAGGCTGTTTCCGAAGCTGGACAAACCCTGCCCCAAGCTGGACACTCCAGCGCCGGCCAGGGTTGCAGGTGCCGTCAGCAACTTGCTCAAGAAGAAGAGACGACCCTGTCGGCTGGAGCCCTCCTCACCTTTCTCTGTGGCCTCCTTAGCAGCAGTCTCTTTGGCTGCGGCCAGCGAGCACGCCGCAAGGGCCAGCACGAGCACAGTGAAGGGCTTCATCGCAGGTCACCCACCGTGATAGCTGCCAGCGAGCACTGCTTCTGCTTCTCTGAAGGTACCGGGGCCGAATGTGCCTTGGTCAACTCCTGCTATGTTTATATACCCTTCCTCAGTGTCATAAACATCAATCCAATTCTTGTTGAGGGGCCACCCGACAGCAATAACACCTGAGTTTCCATACTCGACAAACCACAATGTCACCTCAGTGTGTCAACACTGTCATCACTGTCTCTTTATCCGACCAATCAGTGTCTCACCTGGGCCCGGCAGTTCCCTCAGAAATGGGTCACCGTCTACCCTCCCGGCGGCATTCCTAAATGTCAACCAACCAAACCTCTCCGTTGGTTCCGGAAGGTGTCCACAAACGGGTCACCTCACCTGTCTATGATGTGGTAGAGTGGTTCGGCAGGCTGTCGCCTGTTTCATATGCCATCTCTGTTCGTCACAAGGGACTGCATATGTATGCGGTGATAACTTCTGCAGCTTGTGAGGCGGAGGGTGGAGGGACAGTCGTGTCGAGAAGCTGCTGAGGGTAGCACGTCTTCTGTCACGCTCTGATGGAGTGGTGGTATCATGGTAGGCGGCTGAGTAGGCAACGTTGTAGGAAGATGTATAGTCAAGCCTTTTAGTCAGTGTAGTCAAGTCTGTTAGTCAGTGTGTTAGTCAGCGTGGAGGCTTAATAAGAAGCAGTGCAGTTTATAATAGTAGAGTTGTCGGTGGGGTAGACAACGATGAAGTCAGCGGTGTAGTCAGCGGTGTAGTCAGTGGTGTAGGCAATGGTAGTTAGGCAGCGGAGTCAGCTAACGTATCGTACAGGTGAGTGATTTTCATAGAGTTAGTAAGATCTAAAAGAAGACAACAGTTTTTGCGTTGGCTTGTCAGCTGTGGTTGGGTTATCCTATGTTAAACTTCCAGTAGTGGACCATTTGTATGCTAGGCGGAAAATGAAAAAAAAAAAAAACAAAAAAACAATATTTTAGTCCGTTTCTCTTCACTTCAAACCAACTGCAAACGGCTCGTTGAGCACATCAAGATACTAGTTTGGTGAAATATTTAAAGCGTTACTAGGCAAGTCCTATTGGAGCTCGGACATCGACCGTTCATGATGAAGGTCGAGAGTGAAAAATGTCCTTTATTAGAGCTTTTGAGGCTGTTTTTTGTGCTTTGTGTCTTAATTTCTGGCGAATTTACCTAATTTGACCATAAATTTAATAAATCTCTTTTATAAAAAATGAGTTCATGTCATGAGTTTATTTCAATGTTTTACTAAAAAATACTGTTTTATAAATTCAAAAATGAGATATATGAGCATCTGCGGAATCCAGACTGATAATTTTCAAGAAACACAATGAACCTAAATTGACCAAATATGCACCAAATTTGCACCTCCCTAGTACCACGATAACGTTGATTCAAAGTAGAATCAACATGCCGTTAAGATCGTATTAACCCGCGCCCTGCTGGGGGTCCTGGATTTCCACGCCCTGCTTGGGGGGGGGGTGTTTGAACACTCCCCTTGTAACTCGGCTCCTGGGCCACGTAGCGATACGCGGAAGGCGGCGTTCGAAAGAGCGTAAAAAATAATGACGAAATCACTTCGGTCAATTTTTTGGTCAGGTCAAAGGTCAGGTCACCAGAGGTCATTGAAGGCAAAATTTCGCCGATTTCCAGGTCGAATGTCGAAAATTTCCAAAAAGCCAACGCATAACTCGGGAACCAATAGAGCTACAGCGCCGCGAAAAAGCGCATTCGATAGCCCTATTAACGCCCTTTCTGAATAATTCTCTCAAATTTGACCTGACGTCAACGGTTTTGCCTGCAGGGGGCAAAAACTGCAAAAATAGCCGATTTTTTTTTCGAAAACAGTTTTTCTGCAATAACTTTTGACCCAAGCCTTGTACGAGCTTACTTTTACCGGCATCGTGTTCCTCTCGTCAAGACGCATCGAATGAACTATAACTTGACCTTGAAAGGTCAACTTGAAAATTTGACCTCAGGTCAAGGTCATGACCTGACCGGAAAGGGTCATGTTGCATATCAGTCGATCCGTATCGTCGAGCTGAACACATCTAAGGCGTTTTCATCGCTCTAGCATGCCTCTATCAAAAGTTATTTGCGAAAAACTGTTAGATACCATTCGTGACCTAAGATGACCTCAGGGCATAAACAAGGGTCACGGACACCATTTTCAAGTTCAGTGTGTCTAAACCACTTGTAATTCGGTGTTTGGGAGTGTTTATAATGTCTTTCATCCAAAAGAGGCGCATTTCAATTTTCTCCCATTGACTTATAATGGGGAGGTCGCAAAATTGACCTGACCTTAGGTCATCGATATCAAAATTCTGAGATATACATTTTCTATATGCTATTGCTCCTAGCAATCGTTGAAAGTTTCAAAGCGATCGGTCACTCGGTGTAGCTATGACAGACATTGAAAGTTTTTATGAGGTGAGGTCACTTCAAGTGACCTGGTGACCTGACCTTGAATGACATTGGTCTGAAATTTTAACAACATGTGTAGAATTGATGTATGATAAGGTGTAGGTACCAAAAACGGCGGTGCTCCGCGCCGCCGTTTTTGAGATATTCGCGAAAAAACACAAGGGGGTGTTCAAACACCCCCCCAGCAGGGCGCGGGTTAACGTACTTTTGTCAGCCACAATCGACCTGAAGAGGTCTGAGAGGATTTTGGTAGACCTGAGAGGACCTGAGAGGATTTTGGTGCAAGAGACCTCAGAGGCCTCTTGCACCAAAATATTATTGCACTAGTGCTTGAATTCTGTTGCATCATTTGCCTACTCCAAGACTCTACCGTGACAATTGACTCACAACTTCTGTCAATCACATGCAGATTTACGTTATAAGCTGGTGGAAGATAATCTCTCACCGTAAGATAAGCTTATTCAGAAATCGTTTTTCGATTTTACCCAGCTAGGCATTTTGGTGCAAGAGGCCTCTGATCTCGACAACTAAATCAAATACAACGCAAAAGCACCGTGAAATCAATGTAAGATCGATGTCGAAAGTCGGTTGATCATCAATGTTGACAAGCAACCTAGATTCAACCACTAATAACGCAAAATGAACGTGAAATCAATGCTGGATCGATGTCGAAAGTCGGCTGATCTTCAATATTAACAATCAACCTGGTTTAAAGTTTAAACCAACTTTCAAGTTGAATCCATGTTTTGTGCTACTATGGCTAATCTGCAGCAAATATGTACCAGATGGCCGTTGAGAAAACGGCTATTATTTCAGTGAATGTTTAGGATAATTCTCCATGTCATCCAACTACATCATATTCTTGTTCACAATTATGCGTGAAATATAAGCTGGGGATGTTTCTAGAAATGTTTATTAAGCACAAAATTGTCACATCAAAAAACAAAGAACTGCAAAAAAACATGGCTATAAAACATGTGTGTATTTCACCATACATCACACAGAAAATAGCTGAATATGAACCTGCGCCGGGCCGGCGTTCGGCGCCAGCCGTGACGGGCCGGGGAGGGCTGAACCCCCCTCCCCCTCTAAATCTGCTCCTGGGTCACGTAGCGACACGCGGCAGGCGGCGTTCGAAAGAGCATCAAAAATAATAATGGAACTACTTCCGTCATTTTTAGGTCACGTCAAAGGTCGGGTCACCAGAGGTCACCAAAAGTCAAATTTGTGTCCTTTTCAGCAATTTTGGAAACTGCCAACGGCTAACT